TTTAAAGCTTTTTTAAAAGCATGTATATTATAAACTCTTTACCCACATTTTGCTATTGTTCTTGTACAGCTTTGGGTACAGTATAGTTTCTCATCCTTGGCACTACTGACATTTGGGGAGAGATAATTCTTCATTGCAGGGGGGCTGCTGGGTGCACTGTAGGATGGGTGCAGCCCACCTGGCTTCTTTGTACTAGATGTCAGTAGCATCCCCTAAGCTGTGACACCAAAAATGTTTCCAGACGTTGCCTATGGGCAGAATTGCCCGTGATTAAGAATCACTTGTACACAGTGTTGTCTTGCCTGTGTTCATCGCTGAAATGCAGCACATCTGGTTGCCCTAAATGGGCAACAGAGATCATGGAGAAGGGGTCACCGAGAGTGACCTATGGTATGGAGGGAGGGCTGTTATCTATGCTACCGTTCACCCACCAGGACACAGAAAGGGCTAAGTCTGATTGGTGAAATCTTTTCCCTGGCCTCACTTTCTTCATCCAAGTAAAAAACCCAGGAGTATTTTTGGATCAGCTGGATCTTTGGTTTCCTATGTGAACTTAAGCAGTTCTCTCAAACTCTACAATCCTGTTTCTTTGTAATTAAAATGCAGATGAGACCAAGTTCTGCCTCAAAAGGTTGGTTTGAGACTAAATGTACTAAGAAATGAGAATTATCTGGCAAGTCATCCTGTACTTTTAAAATTAAGTATATTATTACTTTGATAAAATGCATGAATAAAAATATAAATCAGTAAATAAAACATGCACACGATATGACCCAGATATGAGAAACTACCTAGCTTGCTTATGTAAAAATATCTAATAATATTTCTCTGTGCGAAGCATCACTTAGATCCTGTGTACTAAGCCATATCTGAATATTCTACATACAAAATATGCGAGGTACTGCATATCAAATGTACCTTTTCAATTTAAAGTTCCTAGAACATTAAGACCAAAAAATGGTAAATTTTTTCAAATTCCCTTTTGAGGAAAATAGTTGTATTAGGAAAACTGTTACCACAATGTTCTTTAAAATAGAAAAAATTCTAAACTACCTGATGTCCATGAGCGGGGAAAAGTTACAAGACATTCGTAACACACACACGCCGCACACACAGCGTACACAAATTCAAGGGGATATGATAGTGCCATTAAAGATGTGGGGTATAAAATATTAATTATAAAAGGTATACTTTGAGAATTGTAACTATACTACAGGGATTAAAAATATACGTTATAAACGCATATGAGGAAAAGAACACGGGAAAATGAAGACAGTTGTTTTGTAAGGAAAATAGTGGTAAAGCGGGAGATGTTTTTCACTGCTATTAACTTTGTCTGGGCTGAAATTTTCCTTTGTGAAATTAGAAAAGGGGATAAAACAACAAAAATGAAACTACACTAAAACAAAAAGTAGTGACAATGTATCTGGTACATAAGAGGTTTCCAAATGCCTGCTGTTCTCTTTAATCCTTTCCAAGAAGGAGAAACAGGATGTGTCTAATCACTGAGAAAT